ATATGTATATGAATATTCACATGTATAATTGTATGAACATCAACAGGTTCAGAACAATAATATACATCAATTCACTATCATCAATAAAAAGAAAGTCAAATATGATTTTTCAGTTTTTTGCCTTGAATATGAAATGATAACGTACAGGTGTTGCTAAAATATTGGTCCCGGCGTCCAGGTATTTGTGAATAATTTGTTCAGGGAAAGCTAAAATATCTATTGTAGGAGGGGCGAAGGGGGGGCCTGGGGGAGGAATTGGTGAAGGCGAGGGGTAGGCAGAAGGATGGGGGGAGGAGGCAGGAGGAGGCAAAAATTAAGAGGGAGGGAGAAGGAGGAGGAGGAGGAGGAGGAGAAGAAGGGGAGAGGAGCAGGGGGGAGGGGGTTGCAGGACGAAGAGGAAGAAGGAAAGGGGGGGGGGAAGAGGGAGAAAAGAGGAAAGAAAGAGAAGAAAGGAAGAGGAGAGAAGGGAAGTAGAGATGTGAAGAAGAGTAGGAAAGAGGGAGTAAGTTAGGTTAGATTAGGTTAGGTTCACTCATCATCCTCACGTCATCATACTTACATCACCACATTCACCACACTGCACTCACGTCATCGCACAAACATCAACACACTAAGATCATCACACTCACGTCATCACAGTCAACACACATACGTCATTACACACAAGTCATCATACTACGCTATCACACTAACGTCATCACACTATCATCACACTCACGTCATCACACTCACGTCATCAAACTCTCGTCATCACAGTCACGTCATCACACTATCATCACACTCACGTCATCACACTCTCGTCATCACAGTCACGTCATCAAACTCTCGTCATCACAGTCACGTCATCACACTATCATCACACTCACGTCATCACACTCACGTCATCACACTCACGTCATCAAACTCTCGTCATCACAGTCACGTCATCACAATCTCGTCATCACAGTCACGTCATCACACTCTCGTCATCACAGTCACGTCATCACACTCTCGTCATCACATCACCTCATCACAGTCATCACACTCACGTCATCACACTCACGTCATCACACTCACGTCATCAAACTCTCGTCATCACAGTCACGTCATCACACTCACGTCATCACACTCACGTCATCAAACTCGTCATCACAGTCACGTCATCACACTCTCGTCATCACAGTCACGTCATCACACTCTCGTCATCACACTCACCCTCATCACACTCTCGTCATCACAGTCACGTCATCACACTCACGTCATCACACTCACGTCATCACACTCTCGTCATCACACTCACCCTCATCACACTCTCGTCATCACAGTCACGTCATCACACTCTCGTCATCACACTCACCCTCATCACACTCTCGTCATCACACTCACGTCACCACAAATGTGCGACTCATATCCGTGGTGGCGCAGCTTTGTTTACACAGTGTTGGGGGGGCGACCTGCTGGGCCAGACTGCTTTGTGTCCATCCAGTCTCAAGGGCCACTTTCCCTCATCATGGAGATAGGCTGTCGACTTTGATGTTAGAGTGGAATAACACATTACTTAGACGCCACCATGAGAGGAGCAGTGCATAAGAGGGAATGTTCGACTATGATCTAAAATGACGAGATAAAGAGGTGGATATTCGCCTTTGGAGGTTAAGATAAGTTAAGACTTTATTCCTCTTATGAACTTGGGGAGATCTGTAGAGCTTCAGAGGTAAAGGACTCGATTCTGTGAAGTTTATTGTGATGTATTCTTTTTTCACTAAGACAAACGCACTCAGAAGACTTTCTTCCGGTGTATAATGTGAGAATTTTGTCCTGTGGAGGTGAGTGAGTTAACTAGCGGGCTCCCTCACACCACAGCTCCAACACTGTCACGTTATTGATCAAGGTCATGATTTAGTATCTATGGAATGTATATGAATCACCTGAAGATTAGACACACTAACCTAACCGAACATAACCTTACTTAAATTAACCTAACCTAAACTAACTTAACCTAACCGAACCTAACCTAACCCATTTTCACAGATCATTATACAATATTTTCGAAATTTATTCAGTACTCAAGTAATTTTTTTTCTTTTTACAAAATATCTTGGTTCTTTACATTTCAGTTTAAAAATTAAGGTTTTATACATACTGGTATAAATCTGTTTCAAATTTAACCCCACGGGAGAGGTTCAGTGGTGTGGTAGCGTGTTTATGGAAGTCGGTGTTCCATATTGCAGGGTGACACACACACACACACACACACACACACACACACACACACGACAGCTGGTATGTGGACGTTGTGAAATCGCCAAATGATAACCTTAGAGGATTTATAATAGCAAAAGAATCTTTCGTCAGAAGATAAAAAAACATCTGCGTATTTTTTTACTCTAAAAGAGACAAAAAGCCATATATTTCTGGACAGGTGTGAAAGGAATGCATCCCATCAATACTGCTTACTGATCAGGTGGTACTACAGTGATTCCTAACACATAAACAAGATAGCCTTCATGAGTAGTACGGCATTCACCATCCCTGCAGGCAGTCGTGTGTCTCACCGCTCCCAGTCCTTGCCTCACCTCACGACTAATTCCGAGAGTTTAAGTGAGAAAATCTTTTTAATTGCGTGGTCAAGAGTGTGAAAATTTGTATAATATTACACGTAACTACCAGTCCTCCAACACCCCTCCACCACACATAACCACCAGTCCTTCACCACACATAACCACCACTCCTTCACCACACATAACCACCACTCCTCCACCACACATAACCACCACTCCTCCATCACACATAACCACCACTCTCCACCACACACCACACCACTAACCACCACCATCACACATAACCACCACTCCTCCACCACACATAACCACCACCTCCTAACCACCACACCACACATAACCACCACTCCTCCACCACAGAATCACCACTCCTCCACCACACATAACCACCACTCCTTCACCACACATAACCACCACTCCTTCACCACACATAACCACCACTCCTCCACCACACAGAATCACCACTCCTCCACCACACAGAATCACCACTCCTCCACCACACATAACCACCACTCCTCCACCACACATAACCACCACTCCTTCACCACACATAACCACCACTCCTCCACCACACATAACCACCACTCCTCCACCACAGAATCACCTACCACACATAACCACCACCCTCCACCACACATAACCACCACCCTACCACACATAACCACCTCCACACACATAACCACCCACCCTCCACCACACATAACCACCACCTCCACCACACATAACCACCAATTCTCCATCACACATAACCACCACCTCCACCACATAACCACCACCTCCACCACATAACCACCACCCTTCATCACACATAACCACCACCTCCACCACACATAACCACCCACTTCACCACATAACCACCACTCCTCCACCACACATAACCACCACTCCTTCACCACACATAACCACCACTCCTCCACCACACAGAATCACCACTCCTCCACCACACAGAATCACCACTCCTCCACCACACATAACCACCACTCCTTCACCACACATAACCACCACTCCTTCACCACACATAACCACCACTCCTCCACCACACATAACCACCACTCCTCCACCACACAGAATCACCACTCCTCCACCACACATAACCACCACTCCTTCACCACACATAACCACCACTCCTCCACCACACAGAATCACCACTCCTCCACTGCCGTCAGCCATGTTGAGGATACTTCTCAACACACTCCTCCTCACAACAACTGGCTACGCCGCCATCAACTCTCAGTATTTCTTGAAGTTCTCCTCTCAAAAGATGGTGGGTGGACTTCTCGCCTCCTTGACCTCCAGTAAGTAACAAGTGAGACTGTCTTTATTTGACTCGTAATCTATAACTATTTTACAGGTATTATATATATTAATTTTATAAATAATATACAGTGTATGACTATTTTATCAAGGAATTCAAACTTTACTTATATAAATAAAAATAATAATAATAATAATTTAATGAGTCGAAATATTATTTTTGTTATTATTATTATTATTATTATTATTATTATTATTATTATTATTATTATTATTATTATTATTATTATTATTATTATTATTATTATTATTAGTAGTAGTAGTAGTAGTAGTAGTAGTAGTAGTAGTAGTAGTGTTATATAAATTCATGTTCTGATAAACTTTAGTGGGTTAAAAGTCCAATTGAAATATTTTGGAAACACAATAATGCTTAATACCCCGAAATTCAATATGGCGGTTACATTTATTGTTCACTGTTCAAGTCACGGTTAGGGTGAACAGTGAACTCAGTCATTGTTCTTGTTCACTACTGAAGCCACGTTAAGAGTGAAATTTTAACAAAATCACTTATTCATTGTTTTAGCCAAGTTAGGAGTAAACAGCGAACTCAATCAGTTTTTGTTCTTTGTTCAGATCGACTAATTGAGTGTGCGTCGAGGTGCCTGGCGAACACGAGCTGCCAGGCGTACCATTGGCGAAGGACAGTAACCAGCAACAACTGTGATCTCCTGAAGTACATTGATGACGTGACTCTCTCATCTGATACCAACTGTGATCTGTACCTGTCCCGGGGTGGTGCGTCTCTCTCTCTCTCTCTCTCTCTCTCTCTCTCTCTCTCTCTCTCTCTCTCTACCAGTTGTCTATATGTTGAGATATAAATAATGTGACTCTTTCTCTGTAAATCGACACTGTGTAGAAATAGGAATAATTTCACTGTCTCTCTGTCAGGGAAGATCATCTTGAATATTTGAGAAAAAATCTTTCCGATAAAGGTTTTCCACCACTTACAGTATGTGCGTGTGCGTGACACACGCACATACACAGTACACTACTACTACTTTGCTGTCACTCGGAATCGAGTATGAGGATCGTCCAGCTATGATAAAATGATGTGAGTTATTAGGGATGTCACCAAGGTTGGTAAGTTTTGAGGTGACTAAAGAGGCCGATACGGGACTCGCAGCGTCGTCTACATTCGTTGCACATGTGGAGGGCTACCATCTACTGTGGGAGGGGCGGTGACCGCGTCTTTACGGCGTTGGCGCTTGTCTGCCTCGGTTTAAAGTCGGGCTAACTCGAAAGCATTGACACTTTCTCGTGTGGCGCTCCTCCAAGCGTTACGATGTGGCGTAATTGTCTCTTAGGTGAGGGGGTCGTTTTGGCACTTTTTCAGGTTTGTCTTAAGACTATCCTTATACCTTTTCAATTGCCCGCCAGCGTTACGTTTACTATTCGTCAGGTGACTGTAAAGTAACTGCTTTGGCAGTCTACTGTCGTCCTTGCGGGTCGCATGGCCAGTCCAACGTAGTTGTTCATGGATGATGGTAGCCTCGATGCTCCTCCAGTTTGTGTCAACAAAAATACTGGCATTTGTTCTCTTGTCTTCCCAGAGAACTCGGCGGATGGAACGTAGATTACGTTGGTGAAAGCTTTAAAGTGCCGTGAAGTGCTTCCTGTATGTGACCCCACGTCTCACCGCCATACATCAGGGTGAGCAGGACCACTGCTCGATATACTTGCAGCTTTGTAGATAATTTCAGCTCCCTACAGCTGACAACATGGTTTCGGTGTCTGCCAAAGGCTTGAGATGCACATCTGATCCAATGTTGAATCTCTTCATCGATGTCCGTAGTGGTGGACAGGTGGGAGCCATGATACCGAAAATGGGTAACATTAGAGACGGTAGTACCATTAAGCTGGATAATTGGGGGAGGTGTGGTTGAACCAGGGGCAGGCTGAACGAGAATCTGAGTCTTACGTACATTCACCTTAAGGCCGAAGTGTGCATACACATCTGCATAGGTGTTCAGGATCTCCTGTAGGTCGCTTTCAGTGTCAGCGACAAGGGTGAGGTCGTGTGCATACTGAAGTTCAGTAATGGAAGCGGTCGACACCTTTGTTTCTGCCTGGAGTCGTCTTATGTTGAAAGGCAGCCAAGGAAATGGAAAAGAGAAGAGAAGCCTGGGTATTTGGGCCATAAAATATTTTGGTGGAATTGAAAAATTTGCACATCTTCTGTTGATCTGTAATTTTTTGCGTTTCACCAGTCATTCTTTAGATTGCGAAGTTCGTGCTGGGCTGCCAAATTCTTCTTGCTGAAGGTATCAGTTTTGGTCCGAGACTGAGAGTTGTTCTGCCAGTCCGTTGAAGCAACACATTTATTTATGAACGACATATACATTGATTTCTGGGTCATTTTCATGAAACCAGTCCTGGTGTTTTCTTTCGATCTGGCCGAGGATCTCCCTGTACGTTTTTGTCATGACAGTGTCGAGAATATCCCATTCGGCACTGGGATTTGGGTTATTTGTTGTCGGGTCGTTTATCAGCCCATTTTCGAGCTGCTCTCTGAAAGCACGTGCTACCACTGAATCCTCCAGACGCTTCGGGTTAAAACCTCTTCTGGAGGCTTGTTGCCTTCGCCGTTTTGGGGCGATGTGAAGTGAGAGCTTGGCTCTGTTGAGCCAATGAATTGATCAGTGTTGCAGTGGTCTGAGTCACGCATTGCTCGGGTGATGAGGAAATCTCTGACAATGATGTCGTCAATGACATGCCAGTGTTTGGATTCCGGGTGTTGCCAGGAACCCTTGAACTCATCGGCCTGTCTAAACAAGGTATTGGTGAAAGTGAGGTTGTGTTCAGCACACTTGCTGAGGAGGAGTAGGCCTTTGGTATTACACTTGACAAGACTATTTCTCCCTGCCAAATATCAGCATCTCTGCCAACTCTGGCATTGAAGTCACCAAGGAGCACAACCTGATCTTCTCTGGGGATAGAGGTTAGCACTCCGTCGAGGTAGGTGTAAAAGGCCTCCTTGATATTATCTCTGCATCGAGTGTTTGGGCAAATGCAATGATGAAAAAGGCATGAAGTGAGCGATTCAGTGGGACCCTGAGTGTCATGAGGCGCTTGTTGATCACAACAGGCATTTCAGGTACCCTGTGTAGGATGCATTGGCGGATGGCAAAACCAACTTCATAAATGCGGTTTTCTCTCCGTAGCAGGCTTACCCTTCCAGAAGAAGGTATAGCCAGATTTTATGCCTACCCAGTTCTTTTGCCATTCCATGCAGCGACCATAAGTGGTTGTACAGTTTGATTTTGTTTGGATCTGTGATTATCATTATATTTATAACTGCATAAAGATGACCTTGCTGGGCGCAGTTTCCCAGTCAGGTTGGTGCTTTAGTAAGGCTGCTCAGTAGGACAGGCAGACCTGATTAAATAAACGACCATCTTATCTCTGCCGTCCGTTTGAAGGGTTGTGACTAGAGACTCCCTGCAGTCATCTCTGCCTGTCCCCGTTATCACTCGCCCGTTGCCATAGGACTTTTGGGGGTTTGTGGGTTTTGATGATAATGAGAGGTATGGTGAGCTGGACGATGGCTGTTGGTGAGTTGATTTATGTGGTAAAGAAAGAGCGCGGCTGCAACCACACATCTTGGTTCTCACTTTTCCTGATCCAGTGGTTGCAAGGACTGGAGAGAGGGAGAGTTGCAATGGACTGACAATGGCCCAGTTTGTTGTCTTTTGCCTTAGTAGCCTGTCCATCATGTATTGCCTTCGTCCGGTGCTGTAGTCGTTGGTTTTCCATGGTGGTCACCTCTTCTGCCTATACATGCGTCGGGGTCTTGCTGGAGCTCTATAAGCATGTCTGCCTGATGTGGGGCTCCACCGCAGATTTTTCGTTCGGGGTTTTCTCCCGTTGCCTTATACCAGCCAATGTTAATCCGTACACACACACACACACACACACACACACACACACACTATCACCAAAGCCTACCACCACTTCTTTCCAGCCAAGACACTGAGGATCCACCCCGATTATGTCCCGTGGATTACACCCCGTATCAAAAGACTAATTGAGCAGCGCAACAAGGCATACTACACCATCAACCGCCTGTACAAAAGTTTACGTAACCAAGTCATCAGGGAAATCAAGTCAGCCAAGAAGACTTATTATCCCAGGAAAGTGCACGGCCTCAAGGAGGTGGGCATCGGTCAGTGGTACTCCAAGGTAAAAGATCTGTGTGGTCTTAACCGTCAGTCTCCCACACTTCCTTTCATCTCACATTTACCTAGTGAGGAGGCAGCTGAGATAATTAATAACCACTTTGCTACCATATGTCATACACTACCCAACCTTGACCTCACTCTCCTCCCTGCTTACTTACCTTCCCCCTCTCCCCCTCCCAGTGTTCAACCATTTGAAATCGCACCCCAACTCCTCAAATTTAAATCCAAATGCTCCACAACCCCAATTGACCTCCCTATCAAAATTTACAAGGAGTTTGCAATCGAACTTGCCACCCCCTTCTGTTCTATTATTAATGCATCCCTCAGACAAAGCAAATGCCCTAATGAATGGAAAAACGGCATTTCTCACCCCTATCCCCAAGGTCACCACCCCACAGTCCCCGAACGACCCCAGGCCAGTTGCCATTACCCCCATGCCCAGTCTACTCTGTGAAGACTTTGTTTTTGAGTGGACATTTGCTAGAATTTATCATTCAATTGATCCACATCAATTTGGCAATATTTGGCACTCCTCTACATCACACTGCTTAGTTAGTTTCCTGGGCTTCCTCCACAAAAACCTGCGGAAACGTAAGACATCACTGGCCGTTGCCCTTGTTGACTTCAGGAAGGCTTCTGACCTTGTTGATCACTGCACTGTTATCAAAAAGGCCATTGCACTTGGGCTGTCCACCAACCTGGCCTCATGGCTCACTGATTTCTTGAGTGAGCATCTTCAGGCAGTCAGGTACCAGGGTTCTGTCTCCACATTCCAACACCTCACCTGCGGTATTCCCCAGAGAACCAAGATGGGACCACTGTGCTGCCTCATCCTGATCAACGACGCTCTATCGGACACTCCTCACAGGTGGAAGTACATGGATGACTGCTCTGTGGGGGTTACAGTGGACAACACCTCACATGACAACTCATCGCTACAAGGCACCCTGGACAGGTTACAGGCATGAACTACGGAGAACAAGGTCACCATCAACCACACCAAAACCGTAGTCATGCACATCAATACAGCCAACACTCCAGTGCAAGCTCCAGCAGTCACAGTGGGTGCCCATCCTCTCCAGTTAGTGCAGTCTGCCAAACTCCTGGGTGTTACCATAGACCATAAACTGGACTGGGAGGCCCATGAAAACAACACAATCAAGGCAGCCTCGTACCGACTCTACATGCTACGACGACTTCGGTTACTTGGGGCACCCACCCCAGAGCTGAGGACTATCTACAACGCATCTATGCTCCTTAAATTAACGTATGTGTCACCAGCCTGGTCGTCTTCTCTTAACTCCACCCAACAACGTCGGCGAGAGAAGGTACAGAAAAGGGCCTGCAGAATCATGCTCGACACAGACTAATCCAGCTACAACAACGCTCTCTCCATCCTAGAAATGCCATCCCTCAGTGACCTCCACCACCAAGTACCAGTAAGGTTTGGCAGTGGACTACTGCACCATCCTCGTCATCGCCACCTCCTGCTATCGGCAGTTCCCTGCCCACCTTGTGCAGTCCGCCATTACAACAAAATTCAGCCCACAAGAGCCCGCACTGATAGATACAAAAATAGCACCATCCCATCTATTGTTAAAATAATAGACAACTCCTGATTTATGTACTGTACAGCCCTGTAAATGTATTGAATGCATATCATTATGTCTAAGTCAAATGTAAGTTTGTATATTTTTAGCCACCGGCTGTAACTGTATTAATAAACCGTTTTTTATTATTATTTTCACACACACACACACACACACACACACACACACACACTGTGCGTGTGTATGTATGTCTGTTATATTACCTCGGAAACAATTACTTCTCTCTCTCTCTCTCGCTCTCTCATCGTCTCTCTCCTTCACAGGAATCCCACACCGACGGTACCTCACAGGCTACTGGGGAGGGTACACTGGGAACTTGATGTGTGAAGAAGGATCGCTTGTTTACGGCTACACATTGTGGGTAAGTATATAGTCATGCAATCTAATGGTGAGGTTAGGTTTGGTTTGGTTAAGTTCGGTTAGATTAGGTTAGGTTAGATTAGGTTAGCTTGGATTAGGTTAGTTTAGATTTGGTTAGATTAGGTTACTCTTAAGGTACTATAAAATAAGCTGGGAGTGATCCAGTTCTTCACCCATAGTCTTGTATAAGGAAGTATCTCAAAAGTTCGTATATCTATTTCTCTCCTGTAAATCTTTCACTTAAATTAATGTCATGGACTCTCACAAACTATTAGTTTTTAGTATTTATTCTAACTAATGGCTAAGGATTCACCTCATTGGTCCTCTTAGATACAATGCAAATGTGGAGTTTCAGTAGTTAACAAGTTAAAATTTTGCCTCAAACTTGAACCACAATACACAGGTGGGTGTAAGAAATGAGACAGTAGATATCGCACCTCATAGAGTGCGGTAATACAAGAGAGTGCAGTGGTGGTTCACTAGAGCAGGTATTTTATATGGTAAAATTTTGGGATCATGTCCATGACATTGGTAGTTAGGATTAATTTGCAAAACTCATCAAAGGTTTTATTAAGTAGCAACAATGAACGGATTAGTCTGCACTCTGGGATGTAAAGCTCAAGGCTATGTTTTATATTTTCAAAACAAATTCGACACTGAGTAAGTACAAGGGAATGATTTCTCATAAGTACCCAACATGACCTATAGCCAAGTCTGATTTTGGCCGAGCCAGACATTATTCCCGCTGTATTGATATTTTATGCCACAATGTTTATCATAGTGGCGAACACTAACACTGGCACCTAGCTGTTCACTTCGCTCTTCGTTTATGATTTGAAGAGCGGCTTTCTTGAGAAGCGTCTTGACTTGACCAGTAGTTATGGTTGAAGCGTCATCAAGGATAGGGAGTGTGCAGGCGGATTTTGTGAGGTTGTCTACATAGTCGTGTTTGTGGAGGCCATTATAGGATGGGATCCATATAAAGTGGATAAGGAGGGCATCCGTCTTGGCCCCTATGAGGCAAAGGTGGATTTATCTCACTGGATCCTCATAGACGGGACGGGGTGAGGTGATCGACTTTTGTCCAGAACGAGAATCACTGATCACCAGTCCACTTCGCTCCTCGTCCAGCCAGTAGTTGGTGGGCCCCAGGATGCCCTGTAGGTCACACCTTGTTGTGCTCACCCAATCAGGGAGGCGATGCCTTAGCATTATACAGTACTATGAATACAATAACAAATAGATCAATAGTTATTGTATAATATAAAATTCACTTACAGTATATTAAAAGACTAGGGAGAGGGAGACTAATGTATTTACTGCAACACAATACATCGCTGTGACACAACGATGAATTCTCAAAGAATCGTCTGAACTGTGTCTTTCATCCACCAGTACGACAGCTACACCGGTACTGCCACCGGTACTGACGACTGTGGAGTGACAGGTGTGGAGCTGCTGTGTCGGACACCTGAAGGAAATATTACTTCACCTATCACCTTCGACATGAACTACACAGATGGCGTAAAGCGAAGTGAGTTTAGTTATGTTTGTGACTATTGCTTAGTATTACGTCGCTCTCTCTCTCTCTCTCTCTCTCTCTCTCTCTCTCCCTCTCTCTCTCTCACTCTCTCTCTCTCTCTTTCTCTCTCTCTCTCTCGTCTCTCTCTCTCTCTCTCTCTCTCTCTCTCTCTCTCTCTCTCTCTCTCTCTCTCTCTCTCTCTCTCTCTCTCTCTCTCTCTCTCTCTCTCTCTCTCTCTCTCTCTCTCTCTCTCTCTCTCTCTCTCTCTCTCTCTCTCTCACTCTCTCTCTCTCTGTCTCTCTGTTATTATATTGATGATGTTAACTTTAATGGTAACACTTAACCGGCAGGGAGCACCTCACAATACACAAAACAATGAGATAAACGAGGACTGGCAAAACTGATCACCGGGAAGATTAAACTCACAAATTAAACTTGACATTAAACTTACTTAGCCCTGGAAATTATTAAAATGGCAATATATATATATATATATATATATATATATATATATATATATATATATATATATATATATATATATATATATATATATATATATATATATATATATATATATATATATATATATATGCAAGTAAATTACTGTGGGTGCGCATGATCCAGGTGTATGTTGATTACCACAAGGAAAGAAGAAAACACGAAGTTCCCAAGTGCTTTCGTGTAATTCACATCATCAGGGGTGAGTACAGACTAAGGAGAAGAACAAAACAAGGTATATATAAAAACATAAGAACATAAGAAAATAAGGAGTCTACAATAGGCCGGTTGGCCTGTGCATGGCAGCTCCTGTCGAGAGTTACTACCACTCTCTATCATCCATGAATCTATATAGCCTCCTTTTGAAACTTTCCAGCATTCCAGCACTAACTACATAGGTGCTAAGCTTTTTCCACTCGTCCACCACCCTATTTGTGAGCCAGTTCCTTCCTATCTCCCTCCTAAACCTAAACTTATCCAACTTAAATCCGTTGCTTCGAGTCCTATCCTGTTTTATTAATTCCTTTCACCCTCCAAAATACTTCTATCATATCTCCCCGCACTCTTCGTCTTTCTAGGGAATGCAAGTTTAGTTTCTTTAACCTATCCTGATATGGAAGGTTTCTAAGTCCCAGAATCATTTTCGTCATTCTTCGCTGCACCGACTGTAGTGAATTGATATCCATTCTATAATAAGGACACCAGAACTGAACCGCATAATCGAGGCGCGGCCTGACTAGCGCAAGATATAGTTGCAATAAGACCTCTGCACTCTTATTACTTACACTTCTAGATATAAAACCCGATACTCTGTTTGCGTTATTTCGAACATTAACGCACTGTTTCCTAGGCCGTAGGTCCGGGCTTACAAGTACCATTAGGTCTCTTTCACAAGTCGACCTCTCTAGGTTGATGTTGTTTAGGCTGTATACATTGACAGTATTTGTTCTTCCAATATTAAGTACGCTGCACTTGCTGGTGTTGAATTTCATTTGCCAGTTTTCAGACCACCCCTGCAGTTTATTTAGATCCTCCTGTAATGCATTTGCATCCTGCCCTGAATTAATCTGCCGCCCTATTTTGGTGTCATCCGCAAACTTGCTTATGTCACTGCTGATCCCAGTATCTAGATCGTTTATGTAGATTATGAACAAGAGTGGGCCTAGTACTGACCCCTGGGGAACCCCACTGGTTACACGGCCCGGGATTAGTCTTGTCATTCTCCTCTGCATTCTTTCCAAGGATTCTATATCCGTTCTGTAATACGGTGACCAGAACTGAACTGCGTAATCCAGGTGAGGTCTCACAAGCGCTAGATATAATTTTAAGATGACCTTGCTAGTCTTGCAACTAACACTCCCTTGTATGAACCCAAGTACTTTATTAGCCTTGTTACGAGCAGAAACACATTGTTCACTTGGCTTAAGATTCCTACTTATCATTACTCCTAAATCTCTCTCGCAGTCGGATTCCACAATGGCATCGTTGTTCATCTGGTAACTGGTTTCCCTGTTTACATCTCCTATACTGAGTACTTTACATTTGTCCACATTGAATTTCATCTGCCATTTTTCCTACCATTCGAAAAATTTGTTTAGATCTTCCTGTAGTTTTGCAGTCCTCGTCAGATTTAATTAAACGTCCTATTTTAGTGTCATCAGCAAATTTACTTATGTTGCTGTCTATGCCGATATCTATTTTGTTTATGTATATAATAAATAATAATTGTCCAAGTACTGACCCTTGGGGAACTCCACTAGAGACGTTGCTCCAATGCGATTTAGTGCCGTTTATGCTCACTCGCTGTTTCCTGTCCCGTAACCACGCCCTAATCCATGCGCTTCTACCTTTCTAATTAGTCTTTCGTGGGGGACTCTGTCGAAGGCTTTGCTAAAGTCGAGATATACCACATCATAATTGTGCCCCTCGTCCACCGATTCGAAAACTGATGAAAAGAATGTTAATAGATTAGTTAGACATGAACGCTCGCTTGTGAAGCCATGTTGGGAATCATTGATCAACTTGTGCTTCTCCAGGTGGTTTCGAATAGAGTTTGAAATGATTGATTCTAGTAATTTGCCTACTATTAATGTTAGACTGATTGGGCGGTAGTTAGAGGATAGTGATCTATCCCACTTCTTGAAAATCGGTATTACATTCGCTAACCTCCAGGATTCTGGTACTACACCTGTTTTTAAGGACATGTTAAACAAATTTGCTAAGGGCATACTTAGCTCTTCCTTACATTCCTTTAATACTCTGGCAAATATCTCATCGGGACCTGGTGACTTATTAGGCTTTAGTTTGTCTATTTGCTTATTAACATCGTTACTAGTCACTACTATCTCGCTTAATTTGTTTTCTTCACTATCTCTGAATAGAGTTGGTGCCTCGGGTATCATGTTTAAATTTTCGGTGGTGAAAACTGTTGAAATATATTTATTCAGATTATTGCTCATTTCTCCGTCGTTATCAGTTAGCTCGCCGGTATCTGAACGTATTGGTCCAACCTTATCTCGTGTTTTAGTTTGATACATTGCAATTCACAATTTCTGTTACCATCTATTAATGGGTCTCTTCAAAATCTCTTTTCTTACGTTAATTGAATTCATCTAACAATTCACTTTTATTAAAAAAAATAATGGTTATGAAATTGATTATAGAGACGTTTTTACTCAGAAATGTAGTAGGTAGGCCTGGCCTGACGCGACACGCCACTTGTGTAGTTAAACTGTAAGAATTGTGATTACTCATGTTGGTAGCCCATGTCTGCTCGCAGGCCGGAACTCATTGATTTGGAATATATCTACAATATTGGATTAGACTTAATGTACTCTAGATCTTTTATAGACAAATGCCTTAACATCGCAAATATATCTGTTTATAGAACTGATCCTAACCTCCTCATGACAGTAAGAATCTCTTAGGTTTTATCATTTAACAAAAATTTATCTCAAATTCCTCTATAACTGAAAACCTGGAACGTAAATGTAACGTTTAGTAATTCTTGCACTGTAAAACAAATGTTAATTAAGAACTCACCCAGCAATGCAGGTGGCTGCATTTACAAGGTTCCATGCAAGTAGTGTAATAATTATGACCTACTTACGCCAGAAGGACTAAGATCTTATGACTAGATATAAACAACATAAATATAGTGTTAGGCCAGGCCAGGAATCATTGCATTGACTGGGATAATGCCTCCTCAATATTACCTTGTAATACAATTGTCAGCAGCAACATTATAGAATCCAATCTCGTTAAACTTACCGAACCTGTCAAGATGAATTTGAGTAACGGCTTGTACAAACTGTCATTAAGAAGATTTGTAACCAGGTGAAAGGGTTGGGTCACTACTTAATAACCTGAATATGGTGGACACCTGCTGTCCCTAGGGACTTGATCCCACTCTCCCTTACTGTATATATTGAAGATATAAAGATATGAATTACACGAAAGCGATTAGGAACTTCGTGCTTTCATTTTTATGTGGAATCAACACACACACACACACACACACACACACTTACGCACACGCACACACACACCATCTGTGAGGGAATTACTACACCACGTGATGCCCCACGTGTCTGCTGTTCAACACCTGAGCACACATGACCTACGTGACCTCCACTGTAAACATTAATCTGTATGTTCACTGTATGGTCCTTCACCTTTCTCTAATGAAGGTTTTTGTTAAACCACCAATGTATGTAATAAGTCATTTATGTTTAATGTATATTTTCAGCCTTCGGGCTGTAGAACTTTTTCAATAAACCGTTAATTATTGTTATTACACACACACACACACACACACACACACACACACACACACACACACACACACACACTGTATAATAACTCCTTCTCGCTCACTACCAAAGGCTAACATAACCTTTGTCTTCGTAGAGACAGCTACCTGCACCGCTGGTAACTTCGTAAACAAATTCAGTAGCCATATGGGACCAATTAGAGGTGCAGATGACGATGATGGCCTCAACAACTTGCACCTGATGTGTACTGACTCTTTCAAGCTGATGAGCCATGATGTAGGTCAGGTAGGTAAGTGTCTGTGCCGTTAATGTATATACAGCAATCAATTATATTTATTATAGTATATATATGTGTGTGTGTGTGTGTGTGTGTGTGTGTGTGTGTGTGTGTGTGTGTTCCTTGTGCATTTCCACAATTTTTAAGAGAGGTAGGGAGGTACAGTTGGGCAAGGGATGATTGTGCACAATTTGCTGGACAACCACCTGGCCAAGCCAGTGACTCAGCTAGTTACTGTTACTAGTACTACTACCGCTAATAATAATAATAATATTAATAGTAATATGTTAGTATATGGACGGATATGTCTCAGCGCCTGTGTAACAGTTAGTCTCAGAAACTGTCTGTCTCACTCACAGTATGTCTCAGTCACAGTATGTCTCAGTAACATTGTCTCAGTAACTACATGTCTCAGTACTGTGTGTCTCAGTAACTACATGTCTCAGTAACTGTGTGTCTCAGTAACTACATGTGTCAGTAGCTACATGTCTCAGTAACTGTGTGTCTCAGTAACTACATGTGTCAGTAGCTACATGTCTCAGTAACTGTGTGTCTCAGTAACTACATGTGTCAGTAGCTACATGTCTCAGTAACTGTGTGTCTCAGTAACTACATGTGTCAGTAGCTACATGTCTCAGTAACTGTGTGTCTCAGTAGCTGCATGTCTCAGTAACTGTGTGTCTCAGTAACTACATGTCTCAGTAACTGTGTGTCTCAGTAACTACATGTCTCAGTAACTGTGTGTCTCAGTAGCTACATGTCTCAGTAACTGTGTGTCAGTAACTACATGTCTCAGTAACTGTGTGTCTCAGTAGCTACATGTCTCAGTAACTGTGTGTCTCAGTAGCTACATGTCTCAGTAACTGTGTGTCTCAGTAACTACATGTCTCAGTAACTGTGTGTCTCAGTAGCTACATGTCTCAGTAACTGTGTGTCAGTAACTACATGTCTCAGTAACTGTGTGTGTCAGTAACTACATGTCTCAGTAACTGTGTGTCTCAGTAGCTACATGTCTCAGTAACTGTGTGTCTCAGTAGCTACATGTCTCAGTAACTGTGTGTCAGTAACTACATGTCTCAGTAACTGTGTGTCTCAGTAGCTGCATGTCTCAGTAACTGTGTGTCTCAGTAACTACATGTCTCAGTAACTGTGTGTCTCAGTAGTCTACATGTCTCAGTAACTGTGTGTCTCAGTAGCTACATGTCTCAGTAACTGTGTGTCTCAGTAACTACATGTCTCAGTAACTGTGTGTCTCAGTAGCTACATGTCTCAGTAACTGTGTGTCAGTAACTACATGTCTCAGTAACTGTGTGTGTCAGTAACTACATGTCTCAGTAACTGTGTGTCAGTACTACATGTCTCACTGTGTCAGCTACATGTCTCAGTAACTGTGTGTCTCAGTAACTACATGTCTCAGTAACTGTGTGTCTCAGTAACTACATGTCTCAGTAACTGTGTGTCAGTAGCTACATGTCTCAGTAACTGTGTGTCTCAGTAACTACATGTCTCAGTAACTGTGTGTCAGTAACTACATGTCTCAGTAACTGTGTGTCTCAGTAGCTACATGTCTCAGTAACTGTGTGTCAGTAACTACATGTTTCAGTAACTGTGTCTCAGTAACTACATGTCTCAGTAACTGTGTGTCTCAGTAACTACATGTCTCAGTAACTACATGTCTCAGTAACTGTGTGTCTCAGTAACTGTATGCCTCAGTAACTACATGTCTCAGTAACTGTATGTCTCAGTAACTACATGTCTCAGTAACTGTGTGTCTCAGAAATTAAATGTCTCATTAACTTTATGCACATTTTCTGCAGGCACCTGGGCAGGTTGGAGGAGTTGTCTGCCGGGAACATTTATATGTGGCATGAAACTAAGATATGAAGCTCTTGGCGCCTCAAGTGATAACAGCTGTATCAACGAGTTCATCGCCCTCTGCTGCTTCCCTTAGTGTGGTCGCCCTTTACTGCCCCTTGACCCTGTCTTATGCCCTTAGAGACATGGATGGAGGGAGGGGGGTCACCTTTGCCCTGCCCTATATTATACAGAAGGGAGTAAAGTGGTTACCCCATTGTTATACCACAGTAGCACCACAGTGCATTGGAACACTTGTTTCACTTTAGAATTAGACATCCTAACCCTGACGTAGTCTAGCCAATCCAAACCTAATTTAACCTATGCTAACCTGACCAAACTAAACATAACTTCTCCTAACCACATGCATACTAACAGTAACCTAACGAACCAAACCAAACCTCACCTATCGTTACGTAACCTAACCTAACCTAACCTAACTTAACCTAACTTATCCTATCCTAACCTAAACTACTCTCTTGTACCATTAACACCCCCAACCACTGTGAACAACTTATCCGATGAAACACACTGGGTCTGGGACCGAACCCGACATCAAGAGTTGATAAATGTTTGCATTGATTTAGCTGTGCATAGTGCAGGTACTGATAGCGTTAGAGTGTGTGTGTGTGTTGTGTATAAACTGCTGGTGAATGATACTTAAAGACCCAGACAGTTGCATGATAATTTTATATAAATAACAATTATAAAACAATCACATTTTCCAGTAATAAAGAATAAGGTGACGTGGTGATGGTGTGTTTGTGTGTGTTTGAGTGTGTGTGTGTTTGTGTGTGTGTGTGTGTGTGTGTGTGTGTGTGTGTGTGTGTGTGTGTGTGTGTGTGTGTGTGTGTGTGTGTGTGTGTGTGTGTGTGTGTGTGTGTGTGTGTTATATCTCCTTTACGAACACATACAAACATCTTGGCTACCATGGTATATGGACTGTACCTTGATGACGCTGGCAATAGTTGCCTGGTTTTCACTGTAGAGCCTCCCAACACCTCCCTCTTCCCCTCCCCATTCCTCCATCTCCTCTCCCCGGGGTTACGCCTACAAACTTTCATACAGTAACCAGTTCAAGGACTAATGATCCATCACCATGGATACCAATGTGACAATTTCAATATGAAGTACAATGGAAACAGTGTACGTAGACAGTGGATATAACTGACAAGTGTTACAGACGAGGATCAGAGGTCAACAGCCATGTGACCCTCACCTCTGATCATCATTATACCCCCAGCTACTAGTTTGGGGACAGCTGTTACACCGCCCTAATCACTAATGTCGTTAGCCAATCTTACAATAAAATGGATCCCCGTCAACGTGCAGCTGTTCAACACCTCAGCTGCCGCAGGACTACAAGACCAGCCCCAGTCAAACTAATGCGGTTTATTTTTATTTTTTTCAATGACCCAATGATATTTAAGTCATATCTATTAGCAGTGTAATTTAGAGCGTTTTATTATCATTATTATTATTAGAATTATTATTATTATTATTATTATTATTATTATTATTATTATTATTATTATTATTATTATTATTATTATTATTATTATTATTATTATTATTAGAATTATTATTATTATTATTATTATTATTTATTTATTTATTATTATTATTATTATTATTAGAATTATTATTATTATTATTATTATTATTATTATTATATTATTATTATTATTATTATTATTATTATTATTATTATTATTATTATTATTGTTATTATTATTATTATTATTATTATTATTATTATTATTATTATTATTATTATTATTATTATTATTATTATCAGTATAATTATTTTTACCATCATTATGATTACAATACAAAGAATCATGACAACAATAGCATATATGTAATTTACAATAATGTAGTGTAGGCCTGAAGAAAATACTTAGTCTTGTGTGTTGTTTAATGGTCGAATACTCTTACTGTTTATCATTGTTTGTATATCTACACTATTTTTGCAATGTTTTATTAATAGCACTGTCTATATACATTGTATATCTGTCTATTTATGAATATTATTACACTATATGCACTGTGTATGTACAGTCGGCCACAAGAATAAGTATACACCTACGGTTTGTGTTTGAGACAAATATCTGGTAACACTGTCGTGAACAAAACAGACAAATTACAAAATGACCTGTAACTTATGTTTTATTCCTACATATATGTTATAAATACATTTGTTGTGAATGTTTTACTTGTGTCTTGTGTTTATATTACAAGTAATATATTGTATCCAATGGTGGTAAGCTTGTCGCCGAATGGGATTGCAGTTATCGTACAGCTCCCTCCTCCTCCTCCTCCCCCACTTTTTCTCGTACCCTACTTCTTTTTTACTGATGTTTGGATTATCAAAGGAAGGAAGAGGAGTAAGGAGAAGAATATTGATTTGTGGAAGATTATAATATGAGCCCCTGTAAACGCACCTTTCAGTGCTCTGGTCTCCAGCTGCCACTCCCAGCAAAGTGCAGAGACCCTACATCAAGACCTACAGGCCGATTACTGACACTGCACTGAGACTCTTCGGGCAGTGGATAGTTCACCATCACCATCCCTGGATTGAAGTACTAAATGTGGATGATGTGGACACCAAATGGATAAATTATACCAACACCACCACGGAAGCTCACCACCACTTCTTCCCCGAGAAGTCCTTTAGATACACGCAGCTGACCTGCCCTGGATCACACCTCGGATCAAAAGACTTATGTATGGGAGAAACAACGCCTTTTACCTCAATGACCACAACCAAATCATCCGTGAAATACACACTACAAAGAATTCTTACTACGCAACCAAACTACACACTTGAAACAGAACAACATCAGTAAGTGGTATGGTAAACTTACGAAACACTGTAGACTAAACAATAAGACACACCCCCACCCCTTCCTTAACTACCTCACTAATGGTGACGCTGGTAAGTAATCTAACAACCATCTCTCAACTATATGCCACACGCTCCCCCAGCTTGACACAACCAGTCTCCCTGCTTACCTACCAGACCCTTCTCCCACTGACTTGGTGGAAGAATTTGAAGGCGCAAGAAGTGTGAACAAACAGAAAATCAATCGCTCCACCACCCCAATTGACCTGTCAATAAAGCTCCACAAGGAGTTCTTCCCGGAACGTTTTACCAAAACGTTACTCTTATCACTTATGAGGCACGGGTAGTCCCCTATTGGAGGTTCACGGCGCCATAAGCCCGATGAACAGGCTTTGTGTGAAATATAACAAAGTCTAGGACTGCTTTTAGTGTCCTAGTGGTCTAGAAGTAACGTTCCCCGGTCACACACATAAGATCGTGGGTTCGAGTCCTGGCGGGGTGAGGTTGTTGATTATATAGTGATGGTGAACTATCCACTGCCCGAAGAGTCTCAGTGCAGTGTCAGTTATCGGCCTGTAGGTCTTGATGTAGGGTCTCTGCACTTGGCTGGTAGTGGCAGCTGGAGGCCAGAGCACTGATAGGTGAGTACTACACCCGATAGGAGGCATTGGTTGAGGTGGTTGGTACTGGTCCGCTTAGTCAGTTAAAATAAGATCAAGGATGTTTTACCCGTGTGTGTGTGTGTGTTCAATTTCTCTCTCTCTCTCTCTCTCTCTCTCTCTCTCTCTCTCTGTGTGTGTCAGTCAGTATCCCTCTTTGTCTCTCAGGTGATAAAGTCTCGTCACAACACCATCTCCAGGGTGCAGGAGAGAGGAGGCTCATCACCTCAACACTATAACATTATTAGGAGAAGGTCATGTTATGTTATGTTATGTTATGTTATGTTATAATAAACAATGTCACTGAAATAATCACTGTACCTGATCCTGACAGATACTGACTTGTCGTTCATGAGAGAATGTTGATAAGGTTAACATTTATTGTTTGGTCTTGCAGTTTATACAGTGTGTAGACGATTTATTTGGGTAAATTTAGGTAGATTTATTATTACTTTTTATTATTATTAGTAGTAGTATTTTTATTATTACTGTCTTATGATTATATTAGTCATGTATGTATCTTATGTTTACACTAGTGGTTATCTTTCATTTTTCACATCCCAAAGTCTGTTGGTAAATATTTACTTGATTAATGTAAATATATATTGTGCATAACTTGTAGATGGCTGATGGCACTTGAGGCCATAAGTAGTATGAGAAGGTTCATTAGCTGGTTTCGTCCAGGGTTAAGGCTGCTAGTGTCGTCATACTGTGTGTGAGGAAGACTGCCATCGTCGAGGATTAAGGTTGCTTGTGTCGTCATACTGTGTGTGAGGAAGACTGCCATCGTCGAGGGTTAAGGTTGCTTGTGTCGTCATACTGTGTGTGAGGAAGACTGCCATCGTCCAGGGTTAAGGCTGCTAGTGTCGTCATACTGTGTGTGAGGGAGACTGCCATCGTCCAGGGTTAAGGTTGCCAGTGTCGTCATACTGTGTGTGAGGAAGACTGCCATCGTCCAGGGTTAAGGTTGCTAGTGTCGTCATACTGTGTGTGAGGAAGATTGCCATCGTCCAGGGTTAAGGTTGCTTGTGTCGTCATACTGTGTGAGGAAGACTGCCATCGTCCAGGGTTAAGGTGCTAGTGTCTGTTGTCTGCCATCGTCCAGGTTAAGGTTGCTAGTGTCGTCATACTGTGTGTGAGGAAGACTGCCATCGTCCAGGGTTAAGGTTGCTGTGTGTCGTCATACTGTGTGTGTGCCATCGTCCAGGGTTAAGGTTGCTAGTGTCGTGCCATCGTCCAGGGGTTGCTAGTGTCGTCATACTGTGTGTTGTCGTCCAGGGTTAAGGCTGCTAGTGTCGTCATACTGTGTGTGAGGAAGACTGCCATCGTCCAGGGTTAAGGTTGCTAGTGTCGTCATACTGTGTGTGAGGAAGACTGCCATCGTCCAGGGTTAAGGTTGCTTGTGTCGTCATACTGTGTGTGAGGAAGACTGCCATCGTCCAGGGTTAAGGTTGCTAGTGTCGTCATACTGTGTGTGAGGAAGACTGCCATCGTCCAGGGTTAAGGTTGCTAGTGTCGTCATACTGTGTGTGAGGAAGACTGCCATCGTCCAGGGTTAAGGCTGCTAGTGTCGATACTGTGTGTGAGGAAGACTGCCATCGTCCAGGGTTAAGGTTGCTAGTGTCGTCATACTGTGTGTGAGGAAGACTGCCATCGTCCAGGGTTAAGGCTGTGTCGTCATACTGTGTGTGAGGAAGACTGCCATCGTCCAGGGTTATCGTCCAGGGTTAAGGCTAGTGTGTGAGGAAGACTGCCATCGTAGGGTTACTGTGTCATACTGTGTGTGAGGAAGACTGCCATCGTCGAGGGTTAAGGCAGGGTGTAGGAAGGTTAAGGCTGCTGTGTCGTCATACTGTGTGTGAGGAAGACTGCCATCGTCCAGGGTTAAGGTTGCTAGTGTCGTCATACTGTGTGAGGAAGACTGCCATCGTCCAGGGTTAAGGTTGCGTGTCGTCATACTGTGTGTGAGGAAGACTGCTGCCATCGTCCAGGGTTAAGGTTGCTAGTGTCGTCATACTGTGTGTGAGGAAGACTGCCATCGTCCAGGGTTAAGGCTGCTAGTGTCGTTATACTGTGTGTGAGGAAGACTGCCATCGTCCAGGGTTAAGGCTGCTAGTGTCGTTATACTGTGTGTGAGGAAGACTGCCATCGTCCAGGGTTAAGGCTGCTAGTGTCGTTATACTGTGTGTGAGGAAGACTGCCATCGTCCAGGGTTAAGGTTGCTTGTGTCGTTATACTGTGTGTGAGGAAGACTGCCCGGACATCCTCACTCCTTCTGTCCTCTACCGTCACCCTGTACAACACTCTTAAACTTTAGATTGTCATAAGAAGGGCCTGTGAGGAAGGGCCAGGCGATATATATCTTCTGTACAAACTTTTATCTCATGAGCTGTTCTTCCTCAATAAGCTAAACAACCCTCACGCTTGTTACACCTCGAGCTCCGCCCCCCTGCCGGTGTTTGGCCCTATATAAAGACAACAGGCTGGCTTACCCGGCAGTTTCTACCCGAATTTTGCATCGCCTAGAAACCAGATGTGTGGAACCCTTACAGTGTCGTTTGTGAACTGGTGTGTTGTGGACCTGAGCAGCCAATTGAGTATTGCCCGAGACCTCTACAGAACCTTAGGTATTGTACAGTGTTGAGAATCATTATCTTTAGTCCTATGTGGTGCTGTGTTGAATGTTGATTTTTGGTCCGAATTCCATAAAGGGTGTTATATCCATGTCCCTGTCTCGCTTACTGTGAATTATATTTACCGAGTTAACATGTTAAGTTCCTAACCATTCTTGGGTTACGGTATGTTAATTCAAAAGTCTTTGTTTAAATTAATAATCATTACTTTTAAAATTATCTTCTTTCTTGATTTGTCCTCTTGGTGTTATATTACCTTACTCTGGTACTGCCATGATAATCTGACTTAATCTGAATCAGCAGCCAAATAATTGGTTGGTCAATCCTTTACTTCACAAGCCTAATGCTCAACTGAAAGCATTTTCGGGACAAGTCAACAGAACTTGTTTGGTTTTACACGTTATAACTTGGGTATTTGGTATTGTTTTAATGAAATCAATTCCTAGACGAACCTGCTAACTTCACAAATAACTCCAGACCGTAACGATACATGTAACACGAGAGAAATACAGTACACAAGGAAACAATAAAACAATAGTTATCAAAAGACCTTTATTTTTTTCTTCATATACAAAGTTCACAGCTAAATTAGTTATTAATGAAACAACGACTATTAGTGAAGCTAGACTCTTCTGCCTCAAACTGTTTACTTTTTTTTTTTTTTTAAGTATTGAAACAGCTAGAATGTTAACTGACGTCACCTGTATATTATTATTACACTAGTTATAACGAACACCGTACATGTGACCTCCCGTGTATGTAGAAAATATTGTATGTATGTAGACGTGTGTTATGGTAACATCTGTGTGAACAGTTCAGACTATCAGGTCATCATCCTTGTTCACTTTTCAGCTGAACATACACACACACCGCTACTACTCCATGACAACCAAACTTATTTACTGAACAATTAAGTTGACCCGAGAATATTAAGGGTCATTGTTAGCCCCAACTCTTCTGAACAGTTAATTTGAACATTGACCATTAACCATGACCTCATGAAGTTCATGAACAGTTCGGGATAACACATCACATTCCTGGTTGAACAGTTCAAGTTAGTGTACAGAGGCTCTGAACTCTAACATACAGTTGAACACTCTGCGACAATAAAATATCATCTTTGAACATGAACTCTCCATAAGACGTAACACGTTTGTGAATATTCCAGGATATCTATCTGTTGAACATCTCAGTAGAAAACATACATAACAGACTACGGTGAGACGGTGAGATACTCGCAATTTTACCTGGCAATACTTGGTAAAGGAAGGCTGTATGTAACGGTGAATGTGATTGGTGGATCTATTTTTGGCTGTATCTCTGTTAGGATAAATATTAAACAATTCAAAGGTAGAATTATTATAATAATAAACTATTCATTGTTATTTAAGGTCACAAAAAGTTTCCAAATGTTCTTATATTTGTTTAAATAATGAAGAAAATTTTATTAATGAATTGGCAACTCAACTACAACCACATCTGCCACAAGATTTCCATCAACTTTTCTTCATTATTTAAACAAATATAATAACATTTGGAAACTTTTTGTGACCTTAAATAACAATGAATAGTTTATTATTATAATAATTCTACCTTTGAATTGTTTAATATTTATCCTAACAGAGATACAGCCAAAAATAGATCCACCAATCACATTCACCGTTACATACAGCCTTCCTTTACCAAGTATTGCCAGGTAAAATTACGCGTACGAGACCCAGGATGGGGGTCGGTGGATCTTTAGCTGACTGTACCTCACATCTCTCCTTTATGAACAATGAACATTCCCCGCGACCATAGGGACCAACTCTTACCTCTTGAACAGCTCACTTGATCAATGACTTCCACTTAGCATTTTTTTTTACCAAATCATTACTTTACCTCTGACAACCTTCACAACTGACACCCACAGTTACTAAAAATCAAAACCCAGGATAAAACTGCACCATCATGTATTTACATTTGTTTGTACAATTATTAAATCACTACAGCCGACCTCACTAGTGTGAGATGAGTCACCCGGGCGTCTCCCATAGTGACGTGTATGTCGAGGACCACCTGGGGGCGTCTCTCATAGTGACGTGTATGTCGAGGACCACCTGGGGGCGTCTCTCATAGTGACGTGTATGTCGAGGACCACCTGGGGGCGTCTCTCATAGTGACGTGTATGTCAAGGACCACCTGGGGCGTCTCTCATAGTGACGTGTGTCAGGGACCACCTGGGGCGTCTCCCGACGTGTATGAGGGACCACCTGGGGGCATCTCTCTCATAGTGACGTGTGTATGTCGAGGACCACCTGGGGCGTCTCTGTGTGTCACTCCTTCAGGGGCGTTTCTCATAGTGACGTGTGTGTCGAGGACCACCTGGGGGCGCCTCCCATAGTGACGTGTATGTCGAGGGACCACCTGGGGGCGTCTCTCATAGTGACGTGTATGTCAGAGGACCACCTGGGGGCCTCTCTCATAGTGACGTGTATGCCAGGACCACCTGGGGCGTCTCTCATAGTGACGTGTGGGACCACCCTGGGGGCGTCTCTCATAGTGACGTGTATGGGGGCGTCTCATTGTGACGTGTATGTCGAGGACCTGGGGGCGTCGTGTATGTCGAGGACCACCTGGGGCGTCTCTCATGTCGAGGACCACCTGACGTGTATGTCGAGGACCACCTGGGGCGTCTCTCATAGTAACGTGTATGTCGTAGGACCACCTGGGGGCGTCTCTCATAGTGATGTGGATACCTGTCGTGGGACAAAGGGACCACCTGGGGCGTCTCTCGCATAGAGACGTGTATGCCAGAGGACCACCTGGGGCGTCTCTGCACGTGTATGTCGAGGGATGGGGGCGTCTCTTTGGTAGAGAGACGTGTATGTTATGACCACCTGGGGGTTCGAGGACCACCTGGGGGCGTCTCTCATAGTGACGTGTAGGACCACCTGGGGCGTCTCCCTTATAATGACGTGTGTGTCGAGGACCACCTGGGGCGTCTCCACGTGACGTGTATGTCCAAGAGTGGGGCGTCTCTCTCATACTGACGTGTGTATGTCACCTGGACCACCTGGGGACGTCTCTCATACTGACGTGTATGTCGAGGACCACCTGGGGGCGTCTCTCATAGTGACATTAGCGTAGGACCACCTGGGGCGTCATAGTGACGTGTATGTCGAGGACCACCTGGGGGCGTCTATAGTGACGTGTATCGAGGACCACCTGGGGCGTCTCTCTCATAGTGACGTGTGTGTCGAGGAGGACCACCTGGGGGCGTCTCTCATGGTGGCGTGTATGTAAAAGGATTGCCACCTGGGGCGTCTCCCATAATGACGTGTGTCGAGGACCACCTGGGGGCGTCTCTCCTGTCGTGTATGTCAAGGACCACCTGGGGGCGTCTCTCATAGTGACGTGTATGTCGAAAGGACCACCTGGGGGCGTCTCCCCTAGTGACGTGTGTATGTCGAGGACCACCTGGGGGCGTCTCTCATAGTGACGTGTATGTCGAGGACCACCTGGGGGCGTCTCTCATAGTGACGTGTATGTCAAGGACCACCTGGGGGCGTCTCTCATAGTGACGTGTATGTCGAGGACCACCTGGGGGCGTCTCCCATAGTGACGTGTATGTCGAGGACCACCTGGGGGCGTCTTTTCACAAACAATTATAATGGTAATAATAATATCAGGAATTAACACTACAAATGAACAGACGATGAACGTTTACTTATTTCTAGACGTTTGTTCAGGGGAAGGATGTCTCTCTGAACCCTCTGCAAAATATTAGGTCCAGTGGGGAGATCTCTCTCTCTCTCTCTCTCTCTCTCTCTCGCTCTCTCTCTCCTTAACTAACATTATATATACACAAGTTATTCTTCTAAACATATGATCATACAATTATATTAATGGACAAAAGAAACTATGGACATTTGGGTAAACAATTACGAAAAAAATCTGTTTTTTTTTTCTTCTTTTCATGTTTCTTTGTAAAAATTGAATATTACCTCTAGTCAGGTTATTTTATTTACAGTTTATTTCATTTTACCCCAAAGTACAATTTACTCCTGTTATTAAAAGTGCAATTATTGAGTGATATTTTTTTCTCTGTAAACTTTTCAAAAAATTAAAGATGTTTGCTTTAGAAAACATTAATAAAGTATAGGAGTTTATTATTAATTAAATAATTATTTAGATTTAGAAGCTGAAAATATCCTATTGTTTGACGTTTCATTAAAACTAAGGCAAAGATTATTTTAGATGATGCCAATAATTGCCTCTTAGTTTTATTACAGTTAAAAAGAGGAAATGCCTGTTTTAAACAGTACCAGTTACTACAAACATCTCCAGTAGATGTAATAAACTGGTATATTCAAACTCAATAAAAACAAATGTTTTAGAAATATCAATAAACTTCTTGTCACTACATGTACAAAGGGACATTATTTCTTTCTTCTATATGAGACTGGTGAAGGTGTGTGTGAGGGTGTAGGTGATGACAACAGCAGCAGCAGCAGCAGGGAGAGGCAGCAGTAGGTTGGTGGGTAGAAGGTGTGGCCAGCAGTAGTGACCGCCTCCCATAGTAACACTGGAGGCCGCGTTGGTCTGCATAGCTGCCGGGGTCTCTCCTGAAACAAACGGGACCACTCAAGTCCTCCGTTGTCACCATATACATACATACATATATACATGGAGCAAACTCATAGTACCTGGAGTGATCTAACATCACCTGGAGTGACCTGACATCACCTGGAGTGATCTAACATCGCCTGTAGTGACCTAGCTCCACCTGGGGTGACCTAACACCACCTGCAGTGACCTAACACCACCTGCAGTGACCTAACACCACCTGGAATGACGTAACACCACCTGCAGTAACCTAACACCAACTGGAGTGACCCGGCACGACACTCTACAGTAGTTAGATGTATCTAAACAACACTATGGACGAGGTCAAAGGTCAAGATCAACACTGAAATTATACACCAAACCTGACCTACCACACTTGAACTACTACACTTGACCTACCACACACCTGACCGACCACACCTGACCTACCACACCCGACTCGCAACAACTACCTTCACAACACCTATAACACCGGAACCTCACAAAATCTTCAATATCTGACACCACATGACAACCCCCAAGATCACAGCACCAACAGAGCCCCCATGACCCTTCAGGCACAGGACCCTTCAGGACGCCACAGGACCCTTCAGGATGCCACAGAACCCTTCAGGACGCCACAGGACCCTTCAGGACGCCACAGGATTCTTCAGGACGCCACAAGACCCCCCCACTAAGTTCCCCCAGGACCCACAGAGCCCACCAGAACCCTTCAGGACGCCACAGGACCCCCTAAATCTCTCAGGACCCCTCATGATCTTCCAGGCCACCCCAAGACCCCCTTTAGAACCCCCAGGATCTCCTCAGGACTCTCTAGGACCCCCATAGACTTCATTGCACGAGAACTTTTGCGTTCTTTTGTCCACTACGTCTTACCTGTTTTATTCTCAAATTGGAAACACAAAAACAGCGATTGAGAAGAGATAATGAGGTACTTTTTATTATTATTCCCCTTTGTGCTTTTTTTTGTCATTAGAAAAATCTGAACAATGGAACAGAAAAAAAAGGTGTTTATCAAGATTAATTAAATGCACGAGAGATAAGAAATTAAACTCCCCAACGGAATTATTAAGAAGACGTAATTAGATGAATCTCTTGTAATGTTCACTATCCATAAACAAGGATGAACCGTCTTGATAGTGCCGGCTTGAGTCACTCTACGTTAACGAGACCAACGAATAGCCAGAAATAGACCATTAACTACCAAACCACACTTACCACGCGCGTAGTGACGACCTAAATGGTATCATAAATCATATACCACTAACTAACCACTAACAAGGGCGTATACAAACAGGTTATTTACCACTAACTAATCACTAACAAGAACGTATACTAACTAAGAGGTCATTTACCACTAACTGACCACTAACAAGAACGTGTACTAACTAACAGGTCATTTACCACTAACTGACCACTAACAAGAACGTGTACTAACTAACAGGTCATTTACCACTAACTGACCACTAACAAGAACGTGTACTAACTAACAGGTCATTTACCACTAGCTAACCACTAACAAGAACGTGTACTAACTAACAGGTCATTTACCACTAACTAACCACTAACAAGAACGTGTACTAACTAACAGGTCATTTACCACTAACTGACCACTAACAAGAACGTGTACTAACTAACAGGTCATTTACCACTAACTGACCACTAACAAGAACGTGTACTAACTAACAGGTCATTTACCACTAACTAACCACTAACAAGAACGTGTACTAACTAACAGGTCATTTACCACTAACTGACCACTAACAAGAACGTGTACTAACTAACAGGTCATTTACCACTAACTAACCACTAACAAGAACGTGTACTAACTAACAGGTCATTTACCACTAACTAACCACTAACAAGAACGTGTACTAACTAACAGGTCATTTACCACTAACTAACCACTAACAAGAACGTGTACTAACTAACAGGTCATTTACCACTAACTGACCACTAACAAGAACGTGTACTAACTAACAGGTCATTTACCACTAACTGACCACTAACAAGAACGTGTACTAACTAACAGGTCATTTACCACTAACTAACCACTAACAAGAACGTGTACTAACTAACAGGTCATTTACCACTAACTAACCACTAACAAGAACGTGTACTAACTAACAGGTCATTTACCACTAACTAACCACTAACAAGGGCGTGTACTAACTAACAGGTCATTTACCACTAACCACTAACAAGGGCGTGTAAACGGTCATTTACCACTAACCACTAACAAGAACGTACTAACTAACAGGTCATTTACCACTAACCACTAACAAGAACGTGTACTAACTAACAGGTCATTTACCACTAACCACTAACAAGAACGTGTACTAACTAACAGGTCAGTTACCACTAACCACTAACAAGGGCGTGTACTAACTAACAGGTCATTTACCACTAACTAACCACTAACAAGAACGTGTACTAACTAACAGGTCATTTACCACTAACCACTAACAAGGGCGTGTACTAACTAACAGGTCATTTACCACTAACCACTAACAAGGGCGTGTACTAACTAACACGTCATTTACCACTAACTAACCACTAACAAGAACGTGTACTAACTAACAGGTCATTTACCACTAACCACTAACAAGGGCGTGTACTAACTAACAGGTCATTTACCACTAACCACTAACAAGGGCGTGTACTAACTAACAGGTCATTTACCACAAGCCACTAACAAGGGCGTGTACTAACCATTAAGGATGTGTATTCTGACGGAGGCGGTGGCGGAGAGGGAGGGCACACAGGAGTAGGTGCCAGTCGCAGCGTCGTGGGCGTCATGGATCAAGAGGATGGTCTTGGTGACTGAGCCTCTGTCAGTAATCACACTCACTCGGCTGTCGCGGTTGTCGTAGTTGATCACCTGTGTGTGTAGTTAAGGCTCGTTAGGGTTAGGGTATTTAAGGCTCGCTGGGTGTAGGCTAGTTAAGGTGTGTTAGGTAGTGTAGTTAGGTAGTGTGTTATAGGTAGTTAAGGCTCGTTAGGGTTAGGGTATTTAAGGCTCGTTGGGTAGGCTAGTTAAGATGTGTTAGGTAGTGTAGTTAGGTAGTGTGTTATAGGTAGTTGAGGCTCGTTAGGGTTAGGATATTTAAGGCTCGTTGGGTAGGCTAGTTAAGGTGTGTTAGGTAGTGTAGTTAGGTAGTGTGTTATAGGTAGTTGAGGCTCGTTAGGGTTAGGGTATTTAAGGCTCGTTGGGTAGGCTAGTTAAGATGTGTTAGGTAGTGTAGTTAGGTAGTGTGTTATAGGTAGTTGAGGCTCGTTAGAGAGAGATATGGGATTGTTAGGTAGTTAGCGCTCGTTTCTTCGCCGAGTCAGAGAAGAATTAAATACTCGTATGTTTATTTTGGTTCTGTAAAATATTATCATGATATTAATGTTAAATTTCTTCTTATATTTACTCTTGAAAATAATTTATATGAAATATTCAAAATTACTCATAAATTATTCAAGACTAATCATATAAATTATTCAAAATTACTCATAAATTACTGAAAATTAATCATATACATTATTCAAAATTATTCATAAATTATTCAAAATCATTTATGTAAATTACTCATAATTAATCTTATAAATTATTCAAAATTACTCATAAATTACTGAAAATTAATCATATAAATTATTCAAAATTATTCATAAATTATTCAAAATCATGTATGTAAATTACTCATAATTAATCTTATAAATTATTCAAAATTAATCATAAATTATTCAAAATTAATCATAAATTATTCAAAATCGTCTACATATATTATTTAAAATCATTTACATAAATTATTCAAAATCATTCATATAAATTATTTAAAAATTAATCATAAAAATTCTCCTTTTTGTTTTTTTACATTTGTTCGTCAAGATCAGTGCCAAATACAGACCTCACACACTACACCTGCAGCTCGTTAACACCTCACCTGTCCACCTGAGTCTACAGGTGTATTCCCTCTCAACTTACCTCAAAACTGAACAAAATTAACACTTGGTTTACATTATCTAAATCCTCATTAAATTAAACTAAATATTAATCAGACTTAATAAAACCTAATTGATTTTTTCTAAGTAACTAATAAATTTTTAAAGATATGATAATTACTGTCTAAATACTCCCTGATAAATTCTAAGTAAATCTTGATAATTTTCAAGTAAATTTTAGTTACATTTTAAGTAAACTCTCTCTCTCTCTCTCTCTCTCTCTCTCTCTCTCTCTCTCTCTCTCTCTCTCTCTCACCTTGTTGTTGTGGTACCAGAAGATCTCAGTAGGTGACTCTGGGTTGAAGTTGATGATACAAGTGAGGTTGATGGTCGAGCCTCTGTCTACATAACGTTCAGCTGACCCCAAGATCCTGGCCGTGGGCACTGTAGGTAGCGAGCAGTGGTTAGTGGTTAGTAAAGTAGTGGTTAGTGGTCTGTGGTTAGTGGTCTGTGGTTAGTAGTCTGATGTTAATGGTTAGTGGTCTGTGGTTAGTGGTTAGTGGTTATTGGTCTGTGGTTAGTGGTTATTGGTCTGTGGTTAGTGGTTATTGGTCTGTGGTTAGTGGTTATTGGTCTGTGGTTAGTGGTTTGTTGTTAATAAGTAGTAGTTAGTGGTCTGTGGTTAGTGGTTAGTGGTTATTGGCCTGTGGTTAGTGGTTAGTTGTTAATAAGTAGTAGTTAGTGGTCTGTGGTTAGTGGTTAGTGGTTATTGGCCTGTGGTTAGTGGTTAGTGGTTATTGGTCTGTGGTTAGTGGTTATAAGTAGTAGTTAGTGGTCTGTGGTTGTGGTTAGTGGTTATTGGCCTGTGGTTAGTGGTTAGTGGTTATGGTCTGTGGTTAGTGGTTAGTTGTTAATAAGTAGTAGTTAGTGGTCTGTGGTTAGTGGTTAGTGGTTATTGGCCTGTGGTTAGTGGTTAGTGGTTATTGGTCTGTGGTTAGTGGTTAGTGGTTATTGGTCTGTGGTTAGTGGTTAGTCGTTAGTAAGTAGTAGTTAGTGGTCTGTGGTGTAAAGAATCAATCAGGTGAACCATTGATGTTGCCTTTCTAAACCTCCGAGGACGAATGCCAAGGTTCTATTCTAGTGCCAAGGTTCTATTCCAGTGCCAAGGTTCTATTCTAATGCCAAGGTTCTATTCTAGTGCCAAGGTTCTATTCTAGTGCCAAGGTTCTATTCTAGTGCCAAGGTTCTATTCTAGTGCCAAGGTTCTATTCTAATGCCAAGGTTCTATTCTAGTGCCAAGGTTCTATTCTAGTGCCAAGGTTCTATTCTAGTGCCAAGGTTCTATTCTAGTGCCAATAATGATGATGATTATGATGCCAACGGCGGGTGGCACTGGTGAAGACTTTGATGTGTCAGGTAGAGGTCAGCTGGTCAATACACGCCAGGCGTCACGCTCCCTGACCCCACAATATTGACCTGACATCAAAGACACACTGACGTCATGATGAAGTCAGATGACCGCCCTCACAATCACTAACACGCTTCATCCATTTTCACTTGATAGTAATTGTCTATGTAAACATCATCACCTTTTCCCCCTTTTTCCTAAACATCATCACTTTCTTTCTTGTTCCTCTTCAACATCATCACTTTTTTCCTTGTTTCCCCTTAAACATCATCACTTTTTCCTTAATTCCCCTTAAACATCATCACTTTTTTTTCCTTAATTCCCCTTAAACATCATCACTTTTTCCCTTATTCCCCTAAACATCCTTTTTTCCATTCATTAGTCGAAGAAGCAGATATATGTGTACAGTTGTGTCCAATATTCCCTGTACACTTAGCAAAATCTAGCATCTGTTTGACTCATGTACGTAATTGGTTAGGTTAGGTTAATTTAGGTTAATTTAGTTTAGTTTAGGTTAGGTGAATGTTTCTTGGTTTATATGTAAAGGTTTAAACCACTTAAAACATACTTAAATATACTTAAATCTTAAGATACATTCAACATTCAGGTAAATGCACCTTACCTAAAAGAATACCTTAAATTACGAACTAATTACGATGACTAGGAAGTTTAAAATTGACTCTCACTACCACTGCCTAAACTGCTTTCAAGTTCCCCTCTGAGGACGCTGAACAGAAGGCAGGCAAGCGGTTGATTGTACCTGATGAGATTATTTCCCGGGCGACCAGGTTGTCCAGTGACTGCTGTATTAGCCAAACACCGCCGGAGAATTGATTGAGGGGAGGAGAAGAATTGTATTTTAAAGAATTACCTAAATCATTTAGCTTGGGTTAAATTTTTGGATTTTTTTTTATTTTTATTTTTATTTTTTTATCCATGGGTGATTTAGATTAGAATTGATGTCTTGTGGTGTATGTTGATTTGCTTTATCTGTCTATGTGTTTGTCTGTGTTTGTCTCTGTTTTTATATCTGTGGGTATGTGTGTGTATGTGTTTAGAATATTTTAAAACATTGTAAAATTATCAACACAATAAAACTATTGTGTCAAAACTCATTTCACTAAAACACGCTTAAATAACATCAACAATAACACCATCTACATCACCACCCACAACCAACCACAACACCATCCAGAACCATCCACATCACCACCACCAAACCACAACACCATCCACACCCACCCACAACCACCCACAACCAACCACAACACCATCCACAACCATCCACATCACCACCACCAAACCACAACACCATCCACACCCACCCACAACCAACCACAACACAACCTACAACAAAATTCCCCAGCGATTCTCACAATTCATGTCATTTTTTACACATCTTTTCATCACGACTTTCACAGTTTACACACACACACACACACACCTGCCCCCCCACCCCTCCCAAGGTAACAACATGACCTTTCATCAAGTTCTAGGTCAACACTGAGGTCATACTATCCTACAGGAGGCGGTGTAGGAGCCTTGAGGCACACACACACACACACACACACACACACAGGCTTCAATATTCCTACTGAAGCTCACCACCAAATTCTCTCTGGCTAGTTTCTCTGAGATCATTTATTCTATTAAATTTCATCAGATTACATATATACATTTTTTTTACAATAATAATATACATTTTTTCATTAATATATTCTCTATGAATATATTATGTATTTAGGTATGTATGGATAGGCGGTGTATACATATTTGTCTATATCAATGTCCAAAGCGACTCTAGAGAATTTAATCAATGGAAGTTAATAAGACAAATTACCTGGAGACGTTTAATTACTGCACCTGGATCATAATATAGTAGATCTTCACTAGTAGTTTCTATTGACTCATTCATCAGTGTAATGCCCCCCCCCAGGTGTGATGTGCTTACTCTCATAATACATCCCCTATAACACACCCTATAACACACCCCCATAACACACCCTATAACACACCCTCATAACACACCCTCATAACACACCCTAGTGTTATAGGGTGTGTTATGAGGGTGTGTTATGAGGGTGTGTTATGATGGTGTATTATAGGGTGTGTTATGAGGGTGTGTTATAGGGTGTGTTATAGGGTGTGTTATGAGGGTGTGTTATAGGGTGTGTTTTAGGGTGTGTTATGAGGGTGTATTATAGAGTGTGTTATGAGGGTGTGTTATGAGGGTGTGTTATGATGGTGTATTATAGGGTGTGTTATGAGGGTGCGTTATGAGGGTGTGTTATGATGGTGTATTATAGGGTGTGTTATGAGGGTGTGTTATGATGGTGTGTTTAACACACCATCATAACACACCCTATACCACACCCTATAACACACCCTTATAGCACACACTGTCACAGAAATATCACCGCACTGCTTAAATTATCAATACTTATTTACTTTAACTAATTATACTTATTAAAAAGAAGTTAAAAATTTTAAAATAATAGTTAAAAATAATAATAACTTTCCCAGCCTTTTAGTATAGTGACGTGGTCTTAACAGCACAATCAAAACGTTTTAACTTAGTTACGCCAGACATCGACCAGTAATAACAAGATTAAGGTAACCCACCACTTCTAGTCCTTATCTCTGCTCTCTCACAACTATAACAACAACCATCACAACCAATACTACCATCATAACTACCACTACTACCACAAACACTACTTACCTTCACAATCATAAGCCATCACTACCATCACAGCAGCCACTACCACTACCATCACTACCACAACCATTATTAAAACCACAACCACCACTACCACCATCACCAATATCACAACCATTACCACCACTACCACCACAACCATAACCACAGTTACCATCACAACCACCACTACTATCATAATCACCACTACTACCACAAACACCACTTCACAATCATAACCACCATTAACATCACAACCACTCCAACCACCACTACCACAACCATTACCACCACTACAACCACAACCACCATCAATTAATAACAATCCCATTAACATTTTTGGTCTCGTTGATCCTATGATAAATAAGATGAGGTGGCTGAGTGGATACTAAGCTCACATCCTGTCCTAAGGGTCGTTGGTTCGATCCCAAGGCCCTCCCAGTCCACCCAGCTGTATATGGGTACCTGACTTTACAATTGGTGAAGTAAAGGTAGTCGAGTACAGTGTCTACTCTGCCTCCTTGTATACTGAAGGTACAAGTAGCTCTTGTTTATAAATGGAAAGTGAGCAACCCACTTCAATTTTCTGTCCACTTACATAATTCCCTTTCATATATTTTCATCATCCGTCAACCCTAGATTAATAGATGGATGGATGGATAGATAGATAGATAGATAGGAAGATAGATAGATAGATAGATAGATAGACTCTAAGTTCAGTCAAGTTAGGTTAGGTTAGGTTAGGTTAGGTTCTTTGTAAGTAAAATCTTTTGTCATCAGGAGCGGGAGAGTGAGAGAACCAGGTGAGAGAGAGAGGCCCAGGTGGGGTGTAGGTCAGGTCACGGGAGGGTCATAAGTTCACGGGGACGAATGGAGAGGGTGAGAGGTGAGTGTCTGTCTGTTTGTCTGTCTGTCTGTCTGTCTGATTTTAAAGGAAGAATAGAGAAAAAGAGACAGACAGACAGACAGACAAGCAGACAGAAGAGGAAGTATTAAAAGGAAGAGCAGTCAAACAAACAGACTCACAGACATACGTAAAATATTCACCTGTTGAATATTACTGATTATTTAATTCATTGTCATTCTGTACACTTTTATTATATTTTATTCAGCCTCTGTGACGTGTCCATAACTCTGCTGGGGTATATTGTATATTTTATCATTGTCTCTTTCTGTCTTTCTCTCTTTTTACCCCTTCTCTCTCTCTCTCTCTCTCTCTCTCTCTTCTCTCTCTACATCAACTAACCAACATAAGGTGGATCAGTCGGAGTGAAAATATACGGAAAGGAAAGGAAGAATAATCACTAATTAAAGAAATAGAGTAGCCTTTAAAACGAC